CCAGGGAGGGAGGGATTGAGGGAGGCGCTGCTGGCGGGAGCGGCTGCTCGGCGGAGGGAGGGAGGCGCTGGCTGAGATCCTGTACTGGCGGCGGGGCGGCGGGGGCTTGGGCCGGCTACGCGCGCCGCGGCGGAGGGCCGGCGGTGGTGGCGGTGGGTCGGTCGGCGGCGGCTAGTAACCCTAGCTGTCGCGCTCGGGGAGGAGGCCCTCTCTGGTGGTTCGCTCGGGAGGGAGGCGCTCTCTTGGGCTTGGGGACGTCCGCTCGCTTGGGGGAATAGGACGTGCTCCCCAGAGACACGTGGCGAGCATCCGTCGAGTCCAGCCCCAGCTTTTTTTCTTCCCGCATCTCCGTTTTTCTTGCCAAAAATAATTAATTCCACAAATATAGCGTACGTGGTACGGAACGATACAACAATACTGAGCTTCTGATGTCAAAAGAAAAAAAAGAATACTGAGCTTGAAGCACTTCAACCACGTGTAGCAAGCTGGGTGTAGCCCGGATGGTTAGATTCTTTTTGGTGGATCAACTCAGGGTTTAAATACGCGAGGCGTTTTCCCCTGCCCTAGCCGCCGTCACAACCAGGCGACTAGAGAGGCGGATCTTCTTGATGTTGATCCCCTCTTCCTCCGGCTGCTGCTCCGGCAGCAGGAGGGAGGGGGTACCCCGTTCCTCCGCTTTGTAGTTAGGATTTGGATTTGTAGGTCGTGGTGCGTCGTTGGGTGGTGGGAGCGACGCCCGGGCGAATAAATCTGCTTCAACTTCACTCCCACACTGGTGGTGCTCATTTTGGCGGCGTCTCGGAGTTGATGGCATCGTGTGTTTGCCGATTCTTCAGATCGGCGGTGTTAGGGTTCATGGATGGTGTTGGCGAGGCGGCGGCGATGACTCCATCAGGTGTGTCTCTTCTTCTGTTTTGTCCACGTTGTTGCGGCGTTGTCTCCGACGTCATGGTGGAGCAGGGAGGTTTTGTTGTCCAGGAGGACGCGCAAACGGTTGTCTACGCAAGTGACAGCTGGAAGATGGTGCATCTTGTGCTGGGTCTGTGGTTGAAGGCTGACAGTTCTGGTTTCCTCCTTCGGCGTCATAGTCGTGTGGGGGTGTTAGTTCTGGAGTTCGATGATGTGTCTAGGGACATTGTTGCCCTGGTTTAATTCTTTCAACGGCAATGGTTTTGCTCCAAGCAAGCTACTTTGGAGGTCTGTAAAGCTACTGATTAGCGATGGAGTCGCGTCGAGTTCGAGTGAAGAGGTGATCTGTCTCATTTCCTTAGTGGAGAGGGAGGGCACTGGTTTTTTTATAGGATTATCCTATCTTTTCAGTCTTGTAATATCGATGTTTACGTGGCTTGTAACTGAATCTTTATTTTATTAATGAGACACGTATTATCATGAAAAAAAACTTAGGGTTTAAATTATAGACCTGGCATTAATGATTGCATTTTCTAAAGAAAAAAATCATGTAGGGTGTAGGGTGTAGGGTGTGTGTGGGCGCCGTAAAGTCAAGCCACACACAAGTGTTGGACTGATCCATCGCTGATTATTTATCCATAGCCTTGAGCATGCATATTGACTCGCTTGTCTTTAATCTCCGTATCCTCTCATTAGGCCCAAACTGACCTATTTCTTGTTGTGCTTTGTACGCGACAGAGCCCAGAAAGAGCCCATGCCCCACGTTGCTTGCCCAATTAGCGGCGAACTGTAACTTGCTCCCTTCGTTCAAGTAAACCTAATCTGAGTCTGCATGTTGTTAGATCGATTCCACGCCGCCACTGGCCGCCATAAGGCCACCGCTCGCCGTTATTCCAAGCCACCGCTAGCCGCGATGCTAGTCATCGGACGCCAAATAAAGACACCGCGATGGCGCCGTGCTAAACATGGGCGCTCCTGCCCCTGCCTCTGTTAATCCTGCTGCAATGTCGATCGTATTCGAGTATGTTTATCATGGTGTTTATTCTTCAAGCCCTTTGAATCTAAAGGTATCATCTACGTTTCACTCTTGTTGATAGAGAGTACTCTGTTGATGGACGACTGCAGCCTACTAGTCTTCCTTTTAATCACAGAACACTTTGTTTGAAATTTTGTATGGTCGCTACATGAAAATATTGTTAAAAGGTTCTTCCAATTAGATTATCAGATTGTTTGATGAGCTTCGTAGTTATAGACCTAAATTTTATTAATTTTTGTCAAATATATTTTTCAATCATTTATATCAATGTGCTGCTGAGACTTTTTATTTCTAATGTTTTATTTCGTGCACAAAATTGCACCTTGCGGTGCGATGTGCTCTGCAAAGTGCATTTGATCGCCATAGTACATATTTCTTGTTGGACTAATACTTTTACCTAGCATGTTTTAGATAAAGTTCAACAATGAAGTGGCATGGACTAGAGGATGTGGAACCCCTTCAAGATGCAAAGGACAAAGGATTGACTCAAGCTCCAAGAACAAGACTCTATATTTTCTATTTCAGTGATCCAAAATCACATTGAGTCTATAGGAAAAGCCAATACTATCAAAAGGGGATGAGGTGTTGCTTAATGGCTTGCTTGCTCAAAGTGCTTAGTGATATGCTCCAAAGCCCTCAACTACCTTCTCACATCCACATATGACCTAAACCAAAAGTCAAACTCGGCCCCACCGATTCTTTTCTATCCGGCGCCACCGAGTTCAGATGTCATAGCCACTGCCACAAACCCTAGGCAAATCGGTCTCACCGATAGGGATCTCGGTCTCACCGAGATGGGATTGTAATCTCTTTGTGTATGTCCATCACCAAAATTGGTCTCACCGAGTTTGAGTAATCAGTCCTACCGAGATTACAATGCAAACTCTCTGTTCCCCTTTCGTAACATTTCGGTCTCACCGAAATGAGCGAATCGGTCCCATCGAGTTTGCCTGACCAACTCTCTGGTTAGCTTATTACCAAAATCGGTCCCACCGAGTTTGTGTAATCGGTCTCACAGAGATTACGTTATGCCCTAACCCTAACCATATCGGTCCTACCGAGTTGCATGTCGGTCCCACCGAAAATCCTAACGGTCACTAGATTTGCTGAATCGGTCCGACCGAGTTTCTCAATTAGGTCCCACCGAGATTGACAAGTTGTGTGTAACGGTTAGATTTTGTGTGGAGGCTATATATACCCCTCCACCCACTCTTCATTCGTGTAGAGAGCCATCATAACATGCCTACGCTTCCAACATGGGCACTCGTAGGCGCCGGCGCGCCGGCTGAATTTTCGGCCGGTCACCGCGCTAGCGTTGGATTCAATCGCGTTTGACCGTCAGATGAGCACCCATATCATTTATTTTTCCCAAAAAATAGATCCGACAGAAGCAGGGGAAAAACAGGAGAAGACGCTGTCGTTGACACACGCCATGGATGAGCGAGGCGACCAACCTTGAAGCACCTTTGTCCCCGCCGCCAGCCGCCACCCTCGTCGTCGGTTGCGGCATCCAGTGCAGCGGTCACTGACGATAGGATCCTCGCTTGCCGGATGTAGCATTGGAGGACACGGTTCCAGCACCTGCAAACACCGGTTGTAGCAAAACACCGTCGTCTGCCATGACTTTGCTGGCAATGGAAGCAGCTTCGCCGGCAATGGTTGCAACACCTCCACAGGTGGTTCCAGCATCTCTGCCATGCCGATGCAGCTTCGCCGGGTTGCACGGCCGTCCAGGGGTTGCAGCTCTGCTCATGGCCCTTTCCAGCATCTGCATCTGTCGCTATCGCTTCCAGCAAAAACCATGGGTGGATGCAGCATCGCGTTGGCCGGTTGTAGCTCCCCGGCGACCTTCATCTCGAGGCTCCAGCAAAAGCCTTGCGCGGCCGCCATCCCTCGTCAGCAACTCCGGTGGTAGCCTTTTGGCACCATGGATTCAGCTTCACGCCAACGCTTGCAGTCCCCTCTCTGGTTCCAGCAAAACCTGATGCCAATTGTAGCATTTTTGCACCGTGGATGCAGCTCCGCCGCTTGCCACCGTTGCTTGTAGAAGATTGCATCGCCATATCGGTGGTAGCAAAATTCCCCACCGGTTGTAGCATATTTCCCACCATTTGAAGCATCGCTAGGCATGAGCGTCCTTCACCCGCAGGTAGCAGCTCCGATGCGACTGGTTCCCAGCACAGAGGGTCGCCGGTTGCAGAACGTGCACCGCCCCGTCTGCAGCTCTGGCGGTGCAGGGGTGACGGCCGGCTGGACGGAGTGCGGGGTGATGTGGTCCTGGCGGCAGTGGAGTCCGGGAGCTGGTTGTGGGCATCGGGGTGCTTGATACGGAGGAGAAATGGCTAGCAGGAGCACGGGCTTCACGGCCATGGCTAGGGTAGGTGAGGAGGAGAGGATAAGGAATGAGACAAGATAGAAGAGGAGTGCGAGCGACCGCTTTAGAATTTGTTTTTTTAGAATAGCGACCGCTTTAGATGGGTAGATATTGGTCCACCAGACGTGTCAGGAGCGGAGCCAGCATGACCGGCGGAAGATTGGGCCGGCGCGCCGTTTCCGAACGTTTTCCTTCCAACATACATTTTCTGAGAGAGAACCACCTACACTTGTGTTGAGGTCAAGATATTTCATTCCTACCATATGAATCTTGATCTCTAGCCTTTCCCAAGTTGCTTTCCACTCAAATCTTCTTTCCACCAAATCCAAATCATGTGAGAAAGAGTTGAGTGTTGGGGACACTATCCTTTGT